GTTTGTTTTTGTTTTTTTTTTTTTTCCCCTGAGAGTCCCTTTCAGCCTATAGAAAGGTGGGAGTTTGGAGTAGCATCTGTTAAGAAATTTCACAATGTACAGCTGTTACAGGAAGGTAGGTCTTGAATACTCACCCTCTCATGGGGTCATTGCAGGTGGTATTTGTCTGCCTTTTAAAGCACATATAAGGGAAATATCAAGTCTCTATAGGTCTTTAGTCATCTCCAAAGAACGGTGATTTGAGGTTTTGTGAAGCACCTGCAAAACAAGGCATTTGATGCTCTCATGGCAGCCTCCACCCTGATGGTTTGAAAACTTAAGGGAGATATTTTAGTCCCTCTGGGTCCCCATGAACCAGTGTCAAGTCCCAGTACTTATTTCATGTGAAACCCTTATTGGTGAAGACAAGATTTGAGAGGGTTTTGGCTTTGCCCACCACCTCTCTTGTGTCTTCCCCTTCAGGTCCCATTTGAGAGGAAGGAGGCCAGGGTGGAGGTGTTTGGGGAACATCATGCTGTTGAACAAACACACAGTTTGGACTAGAGACACATAGATGATTTAGTCTTCGGTGCTATAATCATTACTGAAGTAAAGGAAGCCTGAGTGAGGTTGTCATGTTAAACACATCTTGGGGCAGCTGATCCTTTCTTTGGTCAGTTTGATGCTACCAGAAGAGCAGGGACAGGTATTGAATGACAGTACGCTGCTGCTAGCACTTGGCGTTGCGAGAAAAGTAGGTGATGAGTATAGATAGGGTGAAAGTAGAGCTGTCCCCTGTGTTAACATGCTGTTTCAGAAGTCAGTTACCCTTTACACTTGGTGGTTTTATGTTGGCCTTTTTGCTTGCTCCCTTGACATCTGCTGTCAGCTTAGCCAAAAATAATTGGGAACTCCCTCAAAGTAAAGGAATTAGTTGAAAGATATCCTGAATTCTTTGCAGCCTGGGAGGAAGCATTGTGGCTGCCTTTTATGTGGGCATTTAGCAGATCTTTTCACTGCCTGAAGTAATTGAAGCAAGTCTTAAATTGAAGATGTGTGCTTACCTATGTTCTGTAGTGCCTTTCTGTGTGCTTGCTGCAGGAGTATTTAGGTTCATTAAGGGATGATCCCCTTGTCCATGGTTATTTCCAATCATGTGGAGAAGCCATAATTCTGTTCAAAATGATGTGAAAAAGCCATAATTCTGGAAAAAGTCAGTGACTTCTTCAGGCTGTGTGCTGTTGGCATCCTGAAAGTTACAGATGTTGGGGCTTTTCTGTTGTAACCCTGCATCACCAGGGGATGTCACTTGGCCACAGCAGCATCTGTGGAGCATCAGATACCTTGTTAGCTGGCTCAGTAATGGTTCAAAAATTGGAAGGTTTTTTTTTCCAGTCTTAGAGTTGGCGTACTTGGGCACCCTGTAGCTGTCAGCCATGGTAAAGGAGAGAGAGATCTACATACGGGAGTTGGTTATGAATGGTTTACCAACACAGGAATGAAAGTGTGTCAGTAATAAAAAAAACCCAACCCAAACAACAAAACCAAACCCAAAACACAAAGGTTTGGGTGGGTTTCTCTTGTTACCTGGAATGAAGTCAGATGCTCGGCTCATTTCTTGCTGACTGGTCAGGTGAGACTTAACTGCCTTGCTGCTCCTGGTAAGTGCTCTTTGGCAGGGCTGTGGGAACGGCAGACAGTCGAGCCCACTGGCTGTGGCATCACAGCATGTTTCCAAAGCATCAGGTTCAAACATGTGCCTCCATTGATGGCGGGAGTGCCAGATGGGTGTGAATCACAAAATGGCAAGGCCATGGGAAGAATGTGCTAACAAGCACCTTCCCTGCGCAATCTGAGTGCTGTAGCATCAAAAGACAAGCTAATATGCTAGTGTCAGATCAACAAAATGGGCGATGTGGTGGCAATAATTTTAAGTCTGTAATGGTCAAGGAGAGAGTTTGGGAAGAACTTTTTTTTTTTTTTAAATGGACTCTCTGCTTTTTGTAATTACCAGCATCCTGCTGCTGTTTTGGGCTGTTCTGCAGGTTTCTTTCATTTGTGGAGTTTGATACAAGTTGACGGTATCTCAGGGTGGAGCTCTTGTTTTATCTTACTGGCTGAGAATAAGATGGTTTGAAAAGCTAAGCCATCAAATAGTAACCTGCATAGTGGTATGAGTGAAATACAGTTTGTCCTTGCCCCAGCTCTGAGTATAAAATAACTTTAAGATGACCGGAGAAAAGTAACTTAACTTCAGTCTTTCCTCAGCAGTGTTTGCTTCTCCACCCCTTGTGTAACCATTCAATCCCAGATGGTATCTTGATGGACTCTGTGTAGATGATGCATACACAGATTAAGTTGTCCTTGTTGCTGTCTGCAACAGCTAATCATTATTGAATTGTGCTTAGTAATTTACACCTGCCAGTTAGGATCTTTAGTGTCCTCATCTGATGAGCATCTGGGCTTCAGAGGGAAGTTTGCCAAGTAAGTTGGCAAACTTTATGTATATGCATTAAAAGTGCAAATGTACACAATTCTTTCTGTTTCTGTTGTTGAGTGCCCACCCAGTAATGCAGACTGATCGCTCATCACTTACTGTTTCCTATACAAGAGGGAGCTAATTTAGTGCCTGTGCATAGCTTGTGTGTATATTCTCGGACTTTGGGGCAGTGCCCACATGCGATAGCAAACCAAGTGGAAGAAACAGGAGGACGGAAGACTCTATCATCTTAAAACTGTGACCTGTTTGTTGGTGGTGTATTTATTTTACTCATTTGCAAGAGTAAAACAATGGAGAGACATGCTATGCTCTGTTTACACTCCTAAAACAAGGGTCAATTTAAATGGGCAGGCAGGATGGAAACATCAGCCACACCTTCCTTGCTGCTAGGGTTGGGGATTAAAGTCTGGCTTTCAAAGCATGACTAAAGCTGCATTGGCAACGTTCTGTAGTAGTGATGATGCAAAATAAATAGTAGCGTCTCAAGGTTGGTGTGGGGGATGAGAGATGTGATAAACTGCACAGCACAAAGAAGGGTGAAATGATCGAGTGAATCCATGTGATAAAAAGATCCAATGTCTTGTGTTCTTTGTCATTGCAGTACTTTACTGGCTTAGAGTGTGGACACAAGTTCTGTATGCAGTGCTGGAGTGAATATTTAACTACCAAAATAATGGAGGAAGGCATGGGACAGGTAAAATGCCAACTCACCTACCTCATAACTTATCTTTGGAAATTCTGTGTATTAAAGAGGAGGGGGAAAGAAAGGGGAGAATTCTTCTCCACTAAAGTTAAAAAAAAAAAAAACAAACCCAAAAGAACAACAAAGAAAACCCAAGCCCCAAAGCTTTTGGGGGCTGCAGTCTTTGCCATGGGTGAAGCTGAAGCAAACTATGTGGCGTTAGTGCATGTGTCTTTGCTCTGGGTGGGAGGAATCATGCTGTGCATAGTGGCACATCTGGGACATGATGATAGAGCCAATGTACTATTTTTGCTATGGATTGTAGTGAAGTCTGCCTTGTAATTCTTTGCAATGCAAAAATAGGATAAACACTGTTCCTTTTACAACCTTTTTGGTTTTTTTTCAGACCATTTCATGTCCTGCTCATGGCTGTGATATCTTAGTTGATGACAATACAGTTATGTAAGTATGATGAGTTGCTACCTCTTGGCTTTCCTCTCTTTTTCCATTTTGTTACTCATGTGTTATTCAAATGTACTGGCTTATAAAAAACTGCATAGAGGCTTTAAGGCAGTGGAGAGGTCAGTCCTGAACTGTCTGTTTTGACACCGGTATGTCTCTTAACTTCCTGTTTAGGTCTGAAAAATCCATGCCACAGTACTTGGAGGAAAGATTCCTTGACCAATTTGGTCAGCATGACAGCAGAGTAAACACCAGGCAGTCTTTCCAAACCCTGTTTAACTGCTTTATGCATTGTTTCCTTTGATTTACATAAGAATTTAGGACTTCCTACCTAGGTCAACCCACTGGTTCACCAAGTCCTATAGCTACAGTTAATATGTGAGTCAGAGGAAGTCTGCTGTGTATGGTCTGATGTAGGGCATGTTTTATGCCCTCTGATAGAAAGCAGTTGACCCTCAAACATAAGATTTGATTATGCTGGTATGTCAGCCTGTGTCACTTTGCTTATTAAGTTGTCCAGCTGTAGGATGACTGCTCGTACATGGTGGAGCAGTGAATTCCATGAGCTTCCTTCTCTTTTATATTGGGTGATGTTATTGCATGAGTAACATCCTTCATAGTTCTGAACCTCGATTAAGTTCATTTTAATTCTTCATGCTAAAAAGCATCTAAATAGAAGCTTATTCTGTTACCTTATTCCTTCCTTCCTGAAGTCTGACTCACTCATTGATATTAATTTGCTGGTTTTTATATTGGTTGCTTTCAGACCAGTGACTTCCCATATCCCTCTGCATTAGTGGCTCTATGTTAAGTCATGAAGTGTAGGCTGGATAGAAGTGGAAGTAGCTAAAATGTTTTCGTGCCCTGTTGAGGGGTGGCTTGTAGAGTTCAGTGGATGGAAACTGAAGTTGGCATAATATCTTGAGTGACTTGATTGAGATTTTTGTTTACTGGAGTCTGAACTCAACTTGTAGCAGGAAATTTCTCAAGTGTTTTCTTGATTGCAACAGTTCGAATGTTGAAATAGTGCATGTAAGGTAGACTAGCTGAAATCGGTGGAGGCTGTGATGGTAGCAGGAGCGAGGAAAGGATGGAAGAAGAGAGCAGCGCTGGCTTTTGTTGCTATGGCTTGTGTTGCTATGGCTTGATATTAGTAGTAGGTCTGACTATTCTTACGTTTCACTTCATGGCTTTCATAGCACAGAAAACCATGATGCTGGGGTGAATCTGTGCGGTCTTCAACTCACACCATGTACTGTGGGATTCCACCCCACCTAGAAATGGCAGAGATATCTGGGGTCTGCGATAGTAAAATGGCGTCTAGGTGGTAAAGCAAACAAGTTCTCTTTGTCTAAGTAAAACTATACGTGTTTTGTGGAGATAAAATTCCACCTTTCCCTGATCTTATGGGGGACACCTGGAATGTCTGGGGAAGGGAGGTGCATTTTTTTGCAAAAGCCTAAAGCTTTCCTTTAAAAGCAAAGATGGACGGCTGCAGCAGTCTTATGACATGGCATGAATAAAAATGTGTGTAATTCCAACTGGAATCTGCACCCTCTCCCATGTCCTTAATTATTATCTTTTTAAGTATTTTCCTTTTTACAAAGGCTCCAGCTCTAGGTTTCTAAGCTATAGGAACCTAAGATTAATGTGCAATTTATAGAGAAATCAGTTTCTTTATCCATCAGAAAATCAAAGTAGATAGGCCAAGTTATTTATTTGCTCTCTTCTCAGTACTTGCCCTCAGCAAGGCGGTATATCTCCAAGTTGAATTATCTCCATACAAGTCCAAACTTAGCAATTCAGATGGCTTTCCTGGATTTGTGAGTATTTAGCTAGCTTCTTGTCTGTTTTCCTTGTTACTATTGAGCTTAAGTAGGAAGGTTGAAGAGAGGGTCCCTTTCAGCTCTTTCAAGACCTTCAAACTGGCTGAAGGTAATCTGTTTCTATCCCTTGTTCACCCTTGCTAATGCTGCTGGTAATTGCTTTAACCTACATGCAAAGATGTTGATTTCATTAATAAGCAAGGCAGGCTGCCTTTATTACTGGTGTGTCTAACGGCCTCTGCTCGTGGGTGGCAGCAGTCTGGTAGTAACGTCTGAGAATCAACCCACTTGGTGGGAATGGATGGATTTTGGGTTCCTGTATGGCAGTCGTATGGAGCACTGTCTTGTTTTTAATCTTCCTTTGCATAATTACAAATACCAATGTTTCTGTGTCAGATTAGAATGTAGTAAGGTCTTGAAGTAATTCCTTTGGGAGGGTGTTTGACATCTTTCATGATGTGCATTTTGCTAATTCCACTGATTGGTGTCTTTGAGGAGTTTGCACTATCAAAATGGAACAACAGTGTAAAACTTATGGTTTGATGCAGGATTGCTGCCATCTTTGGGTCGATTTTTGAGATTGTGTAGTTCTGAACTGAGCTCCCAGAAGAGATCAAGAGTTAAGCTGTTTTTGCAAGCAGTTTGCTTTTCCAACCTGGCTTCTTCGGTGCAGTTGCTTCTTGTATAGCTTGGCTCACAGAGGAATGTACCCCAAGGATGGTTTGTGGGCACTGGGAATGGTTTTCATCTCTTAATTTGTCTAGTTTCACTTACTGTTTGTCAAAAGACAATAATATTCAGAGCAAAGTTCTTGAAGGTCTTGACCTGTGTAGTGTTGTGGAAGTGCTGTTGAACCTAGAGCAGGTGGGGTTGCTAACATGGAGTGATCATAGGCAGTTCGGTTAGCAAAAAACAGGAGATTGCATACTCCATGTGCTCTGGTTAGCTATGGCATTACTCTTCATTTAAATTCCAGTTCCTGATATATACATATAATATGATAAATTTTTAAAGTTATTATGCCTAGAAGCTTGAATATGGAGTAAGAAAGTGAGATTTATAATTCATATTTTAAGTTCAAACTGTTTTTTCATTCTTCAGTAAGTTTCACTCCAAAACTGCAGGCTTGCCATGGACATGAGCCTGATGAGATGCTTTGTCAGCTGATTTGTTTTATTTTAGCACTGAGAATTTGGCTGCCATGTGCTATGTTTATGTAACAACCAGCATGTCATTTGGTGAGGAGCTCCCCAGACTGCTGAGGGCTAGGATTTATGCAGCATTGCATCGTCTTATGCACTGTTCTTTAATGAATGTTGGCATGATAACGTGCAGGAGTATGCTTGATTTTTGGCTGCACCCTGAAATGGATAATCTATTAATTTCAGTATTTATGTGTGGTATGGCCTGTAAAAGCTGTATTCCACAGTTTGATTTAAAATAGAAATACCACAAAGTGTGTATTAGTCCAACTTTATATTGTGAGTTTTTATATATGCAGAAGACACTTCAGTCATAAGACACACACACATTATATATATATATATATAAAAAAGTGTTCAGCAATACATAATTAAATTATTTTGAATGCATCTGGGCTGGACAGTCTGCCAATGCCAGCTGGGTTGGTGTGTGCAGGAGAAAAGTGGTCACCATGCTTTTAAAGGATTACTATCTGTCTGGCTTTCTTCTGCTCTTCCACTTCTGAGCTGACTAATTTAGTCAATGTTGTGTACACCCTCTACAATGTTGAATTTAAATAAAACTTTGTTTTTATAGTAAATAGATTAAAACCACATTAACTTTTAAGCTGAAGCTGTAGCATTCCAGAGAAACCCAGGTAACACTAAATCTCCTAAAGTTAGTAACCACACAACAGTTGTGGAGCATTTTAAAGCAATTTGCCATAAAATGTGCGTGTTTAATGTAAATGAACTGATGTTGTTTGCTCTGTTTCTTGGACTGTTCAGGAAAGTGTTTTTAAAAAAACAACAAAAAAACAAAACCCAAACAAAAAACCCACACCAAGACATTCAGTTCTCAAATTGCATGAGCTTTCTGTATGATTCTGAAGCTAACATTAGAAACTAAGTACAATAGTTGTAGATTTCATAGTAATGTAATATAGTAAATAAAGAACAGGTAAGTACAAGCATAGAAGGAAGAATCAAAATAATTTGTCTGTCTGAACTTACTGGCTATGTACGGAAAAAATGAGTTTACAACAATAATTTTTCTGTGTTTCTTCCCTTTCCACAGGCGTCTGATCACAGATTCTAAGGTTAAATTAAAGTACCAGCATTTAATAACCAATAGTTTTGTAGAGGTGAGTGTTTTATTTGAAATTTTTAATGGCTTCTAGGTTGTTTTTGCATGTGTACCAAACCAGAGAAGTGAGGCTTGTTTATAACTGTAGAGCAGTTTTTTTTTTTCATAGTCTCTACTCAAGTGTAATTACAAGTTACAGGCTTTGCAGGGACTTTTTTATAGCCTGTTTAATTACAGGTATAGTTGTAGGAAAACATAAAAAAAATCTGCAAGACAAAAGACCTAGAGATGTAGCAAACAGATGCCATTGGAAGTATAGCTGCAATACTGCTTTTAGCAAAATGCTAATAGCTTCACAACTTCAAACCCAAAACAAACCTAGAGAATGGTGCTTTGGAAGATTTTCCACTGTCCCAATTTCCCAGTGGTATGCATTCAGATTCACTGTAGAGCCCAGTATGTAAGTTGTTACTGGGATCAAACTTTGATTCCTTGTTTAAAGTGATGTATGCAGTGGTGTTTTTTAATGCAACACTGGAGATAAACACATGTTGCAGGCTGAAAGACTTACAAAAGTGCAGACCCATATCTGGCTGCAGTACAGCGGGAACAGGTGACGAGATGGTGTTCAAGGGGTGCTAGAAAGTGGTGCTTGCAAAAAGCTAGTGTGTGTGGTGTTGAGCAACGTTTCAGAAAGGCTGTCGCAGCGGTGGAACAGAGATGGGTAGTTGCAAACAACTTGACAGTTGCTTTTTTCAGTGGAAAGCTTCATAGCTTCATATTCTTCAAATATTTTCTCTGGATGAGCTGAGAGGTCAGCAGAAGTATTTACGCTCCTCATCTTTCATAAGAGGTCATTTGACAGTGAGGAGTTGACTACCATATTCCTGCTTGCTTTCAGTAGAAAGTAAATGCTTAGATTGAGGAGACAGCATTCTTACTGCAGAAGACTGGTAGGACAGGAAGGACTGTGACTGAAGGTCATGGTTGAAAGGATGAAAAAGGGATGAAGGGCAGGTGGGGTCCTTGTGCAGCATCCTTTTTCTATTATGTTTTTTTTCTTTATTTCGTAGTGTAATCGACTGTTAAAATGGTGTCCTGCCCCAGATTGCCACCATGTTGTTAAAGTCCAATATCCTGATGCTAAACCTGTTCGTTGCAAATGTGGACGTCAGTTTTGGTAAGAACAATCAAGTAAAAGACATTGGTATTGCTCTTTACTTACTACCTTGAAAGTGTACTAGTATGTATTCTGTAAGTCTGTATATTTGGATGCAGTTTAGATGCTGGGAGAAGTATGGGGTAGGCTTCAAATGGTGAGCCAGGATTGGATACAGCTGGTTGCAAAGCACATCACTATGTAGTTGCTCTCTGTCTCTCGGGTCTCCTTTGACATGGAGACAGATCTAGCTTTCACTGAGATGAAATGCTTTCAGATTAGGTGAGGTTCTTGACTGCAGGCAGGGTAGAGAATCAAAGTGTATTGAGAGATACACTGCTCTGAAATAGCCGTTGAGGGATTTGAGGGTTGGGGGGGGGGGTTTGACTTGTATAATGTTTCCTTAGAACTGGCTTTGGTCTTTCAGCAGAAAAACCCAGAAGAAAACTTCCAGGGTGTTAACCTAGTTAAACAGAAATATAATCATCTGGCCTATTTGCTTATTTTCCCTTTCTTGTACTTACAGCTTCAACTGCGGTGAAAACTGGCATGATCCTGTTAAATGCAAGGTGAGCATATCAAAGTTCTTTTCTAAATGCATGACTTGAAAAATTTAAAGTCAATTTATGTGCGAGATGTAGAAATGAAGCACAAGCTTTGTGGCTGTTCACATCAAGAAGCTAGTAGTTCACCTGTTTAGATCATAGCATGAGAAGAATCAGTGAAATCATACTTGATCCCTTTAGGATGCCTCAGAGTTGGACCTTGTGAAGGAACAGTGCCTCAGCCAGATGGGGAAATGTCTGGAGGAGGCGGTTGTTACAGCTGTGACCCTCTGAAGAGGAATGAAAGTGCTTCAGGAGTGAATGCTTCACTTGACAACAAGCATTCCTGTACTAGGCTTTCTGTAGGTGTTCCATGCTTTGGCAGGCTTGCGATTTGTTGTACTGAAGGAATTAATTTGGTCCTGGGACCTGCTGCCATGGAGTGAACTCTAGAACTGTTTGTGGAGCTGTCAAAAGCTGTAATCAAGCCTGGGATCCTGTGGCCCATGCAGAGCTCACGGACAGCCATGTTTCATGCCTTGGGGACAGAACAGTCCGCATTCCCAGTGACAAATGCAAAAAAAAACTGTCTTGGGGAGAGGAGAGGGAAACCTCACCAAAGGCTTTAGCACGGTTTAGCTGGTCTTTCCAGGCTAGATGTGGTCAGTTTATCGAACAGGTGTAACAATCTTTTGCTTCTGTTACTTGCATTCATTTGATAAAGTCATGTTCTCAGTAGGTTGTGTGGTTTTTGTTGGTTTTTTTATTAAAAAAAAAAAAAGGCCTAAATAAAGGCCTAAGGTGAGCATTGTGAGCCTAAGGAAAAACTTGGGTTGGTGTAAAGCTAGGCATCACAGTCTAGTCTGCAGTTTTGGCTGATCATTGTTACAATGTCCTTATTTGAGAGTCCCATGTGAAGTCTGTGTTGATTGAACTTAAGAACTGCAAACTCATTGCTGAAATGTTTGTGCTGAGTGATCATGCTTGCTGGAATCAGGATGGTGCTGCAGGAAATGTCTGCAACTAAATTAGTTGCTGTTTGCACTGCTTTGCAGCACCACCACCCTCCCATATTCCCATGTGATTACGCATTCCTTCCTATTACCTTAATGCAAACAGATGTCTTGGGAACGTTTACAGTTCCTCTATTTAAATGTAACTCTCTTCTTTCTTCAATTTTCTAACAGTGGTTAAAGAAATGGATTAAGAAGTGTGATGATGACAGTGAAACTTCAAATTGGATTGCAGCGAACACAAAGGTGGGGCTTTTTCTCATATTATATATAGACTTATTAGATGAAAAGAAGAATGACAATAATTCCTCTGTGCTAGGATTATTCTTTCTGTTGCATGTCATTAGTTAAGAGCAAGCCTTGAAATCCGCAGTACACTGAAGTAATCTTGTTTGAAGAGCAAATAGTTGTTACTGCCTTGAATCAGGTGAGGTTCTTCAGGTTAAGTGGAGTTAGCTCTTGTAAGAAAGAGTTAATTAGAGACCCAAAGGAAGCTCAAGTTTTTAAGTCTTTGGGCTCCTGTCTGGCACGGATGGCCTCCCTAAGCAAATCTGTGCCTCACTCCAAGTGTGTGAAACATGTTAACACCACCTGTGGCTTGATTTGACTGTGATAATTTAAATCTGCCTTTAAATCCACTGGGTTGGCCTCTTGAGGAGTTGTTCATTTCCGCTGGGCAGGATTCCAGATAGAGACTGGCAGAACAGCTGTTAAGATTTTATTATGTAAATGTCTTTGTTCCAGCTAGCCCAGCTTTGCCTGAAACTTCACCATTTGTTCAGTTTGGGATGAATTAAAACAAAGGTTGGCATGGTGGCAAGAAACCAAAAGCAGCAGATGCCATTGGGGTGGTAGGAGCAGACCTGGGTCTCAAGACTGCTGAGCCAGGAGGGTGGAGGAAGGTGGGGAGGGTGTGAGGAAATGGCTGCTTTTTTTCCTTAGCTCTGTTGTGTAACTGGTTAATGGTATTGTTTGCAGCAGTGGCTGCTTCTTTCTGGGGCTGGCTGTGTGTTTTTCATTGAGCTGGAATGTTGCATTATGGTGAAAGCAGAAACACACATCACACTGAAATGCACAGTTAAAGTCAGGCTGAAATTGTGCAGTCTCGGCTGCTGCTTTCTGTTTTGTGGGCTGACACTTGTGTGGTCCCTGCCTGGAGGCTGAACATTGCTCAATAAAATGAACTTGGCTTTTTCTGAGGTGGGTGTGTTCAAAGATGTATTGTGGCTCAAGAACTGAACCAAATTTGCTCAAAGTTTGCTTGGTCTTCAGGTGTTGCCTGTATTAAGCTTGAAGAAGGGTAGCCAAATAGCTGGAAAGGGCTGAGTGTGAAGCACATGTAAAGCAGCTTTTAGCCTTGGGTATCAAATATTTGGGACATCAGAATGGCCACAGCCCTACTTTGCCTGTGTTGCAGTCCTGTTTTGCCAGTGACAAAGCCCTTAGGAGCCAGATCAGGTGCTGCTGCTGCCCCTCAGGGGTGTGATACTGGTCACAGCCATAGGTCTGTTGGGTCATCTACCTGCCCCAACCTTGGCACGTGCTGCTAAAGACCAGGATCTGAGTTCTCCTTGCTGGGTTGTGTTATGATCAAATGTTAAGCTTTCCGTTACTGGATTCTGTGCTCATTAAAAAGGCTGAAATGATTTGCACATACGTATTAATGTAGCCCAAACATGAATAATGTGCCACTAATGCTGGCTACTGGAGACAGGAAGCTACTTGTCTCTTTTTCAGACAAGATGATGAGGGTTTCTGCAGCTTGCTTGCCCACAGACTTAAGCATAGACAGAAATATTATTGTAAAGATGGTAATTTATTCCCCCGCCCCAAATCTAGACTTTGTCAGGTAGGAGCCATGCTAGTGGTTGGGCTGGTATTTAAAGCATAGCTCAGACTGTCAGAAATAGTATTGAATGGCTGGAGTAAGAAGGTTTGGTTTTTTTGTGGCAAACACCCATCCAGAGGATGGTGAGGAGGGGAAATGAGTATGGCCAAGCCATGCTGGCATCAGCCCAGCTTATCTGTTAGTTCCTGTAGTCTGGTGTCAGCAGCAGAAGAGCTGTTGTCCTTAACACCCCTGTCTAAGCTACTTCCTCTAATACCATACAAGATGCTCCTACAGCAAGAAAATACTTTGGAGCCCAGGCTGTGCAGCAGCAACAGGAAGAAAAATAAACAGCAGGGTAATTACACCAGATACTTGAGCAAGCTAACTGTCCCGGAGTCTTATGGTATCTATATCAATTGAATTAACTGAAGGACAGTATCACAATTCTTCTGTCTCTGAACTGACGCTAATTCAATTGAGGGGAAAGTTGGCAAGAAACATAACCCACCCCTCATAATGATCTCTGGCTTCTTGTGGGCAGCGGAGATGTGGAAGGTGGTAATTTCACACTGCTATAATGATGAAGCATAAGCAGCCCTGGCTGCTGGAATGTGTGCAACTGGAGCCTCGCAGCCTCCAGAGAACCAGATCGGCCCAGAGCCATGGGGCTGCCAACCACTACCTCCTCTTACCTGAATTGCCTGCTGGCCCTTGACCAGAAGCCCGGAGAGACCCAGGTGCCTATCTGACAGTGACACACTCCTGCTGCTGTTCAGAGAGGAACCAGGTAAAATCCTTTCCTGCTATAGCTTGAGGTTGTAGTGGTACATTGGGATAGGAATTGCACAGTTGGAACACACGTACATCTGTTCTTAGTCTCTCTCTACTATTTCTAGCAGGAAAACAAGGTGGTTGTGTTTGGGGAGGGATGTCTTGTGCCTTCACAGCTATTTGCTTCAGTGAGTGCAAGTCAGAGCCCAAATTCTGTGCTGAATTTCTTCATTTTGAAGAACCTAGAAGGAAATCAGATCAGGTACCATCTGATGCAAAAATCCCCATTTTCAGTGGGAAAATCTCTCCAAGTAATTAAATTGCTACTATGGTCTCCACTGCTGTTTCTAGCTTTTGAAAAGTGCTTTCTCAAGTCCTCCAAGTGTGATGTTGAGCTGCAGTCCTGTCCAATGTGGGCTTCATTCAGGGAGGAAAACTTCCTGTCTTACCAAGATGAAGGTGTAAGAGAAAAATACCAGTCCTCCTGGAACGTGGGCTTGAAATCTGGGTAATCCTTTGCAACAGGAAAATGTGAGAGACATTTGTTCCATCTTGCCCTGGGAGGCAGAATAGGAAAGGAAAATTAGGCAATTGTTCTATGATGGAATAGAAAAGTGAAACACAGGTGAATTGGTTTCTGTTCACAAAGTGGAGTGACATGATGCATTTTTTTATGCATTATGTAGAATGGTCTGAATAAAAACTGAGATTTGAGTAGCGAGTTCTGTGGTTTCCTATACAATTTTTTTTTTTTTTGGCATTCATTTATTTGCACTTAGGAGGCCTGCACTAAATTCTTTTTACTTACACAAAAGATACAACCCTTGCAGTGGAGAGTGTGCTGGAGTTGATGGCCTTTTACTTAAGACCTTATCGCTCTCTACAACTACCTGAAAGAAGGTTGTAGTGAGATGGGTGTTGGTCTCTTCTCCCAAGTAACAAGTGATAGGACAAGAGGAAATGGCCTCAGGCTGCGTCAGGGGAGGTTTAGATTGGATATTAGGAAAAATTTCTTCACGGGATATTGGGAGAAATTTCTTCATGGAAAGAGTGGTCAAGCATTGGACCAGGCTACCCAGAGAGGTGGTGGAGTCACCATCCCTGGGGGTGTTCAAAAAACAGGTAGATGTGGCACTTTGGGACATGGTTTAGTAGGCATGGTGGTGTTGGGTTGATGGTTGGAGTGATGATCTTAGAGGTCCTTTCCAACCTTAATGATTCCTAGTTTGTACTTTCATTAAAAAATAATCCAGCCACCAAGCCAGGAAACATGAAATTGCTACTCTACCCTTAATTGGTTTAGTGGTGGACTTGGTAGTGTTAGGTTAATGGTTGGCCTGGATGATCTTAAAGGTCTTTTCCAACCTAAACAATTCTATGATTCTATAAGATACTTTCACATATGAGTTCAGCTTAACTAAATTAATTTAAATGAGATAAACCAATACAAGTTCTTTAACAAGTCTTTAATTCTCAGTCGTCTTGCAAAGAAGGGTTGAATAGTTCAAGGTTTTGCACATTTCTTTCTTTTTCAGTTAATTGTACAAACTTTAGTTCTTAAACAGTTCCTTGAATTAAACTAGGAAGGTATTGTTTGGTTTGTGTGGCTTTGGGAATAAAGAAACCACATAGATCAGGTATTTCTGTTAAGTGGACCTTCAAAGGTGTAAGAAGCTTAGAAAACTTGGATTTGTGCATTTCTTTGGGGCTCTTAAGGTATATCAAGACTGCCTAAAAGGAGTGGGGGGGAAACCTGTTTCAAACCTTGGTTTCAGTGATGTTAATCTTTCTCCATCTTAGAATACTAAAGGAAGAACAAGAAAGATGGCAACAGTGCTGGTCTTTGCCCAAGGCACTGTGGTGGTTTGTTTTTTTTTTTTTTTTTTTTTGAAGTTAAATTGGTGTTAATGAAAGTTGTTCATCTGATTCTAAAAATTGCCCCTGCCTTACTGCTTTTGGCTTCTGGCACATCCCCATCTCATTATCTTCCGGGCTAGACAGGGCTTGAATGCCTGACGTATGAAACAGGCAGATTTTCTTCCTCCAAAAAAGCCATTGGCCACTTTTCTCCTCTAAGTGAGATAAAATGGCATGAACCCAGTTCTCTTCCTTTTCAGGTCACTTTTTAATGTCTGAACACGTGCTCCCTCTGTGCTTTCTGGAAGTCCTACATTTGTTCTAATGTGTGGAAATTCTGGCAGCCTGCTAGATCCTCCCCGGGCACCACCATCGAACTTTGCTCTTTCATTTCTCACCAGCGCAGTTTTGTGCCAAACTGTGAACAGCATCTTTCCTAAGATGTCAGTGCCATCTTTTTCTCTCAGATGAGGAAGTGTTTAAAATACCCTGCTTTGCTCATTGACTCTAGGTGTTGTCACGGTGTTGTGCTAAGCATAATGAAGTTCAGTGGTTTCGGATTTTTTTGAAATGCATTAAGAAATCCCTGTGGCATTTCAGGATTTTTTTTTCCCCCTTCCTTTTTAGGACTGGTTATAGGTGAAGGTGTTGCTATGAACATGGCTGGGAGGCTGATGTATACCAGTTGCCTCTGGGAGTACTGGAGAGGACTAATCTGTTTCACCTGCCCTGAAATATGAAATATGTTTCTAATTAGCCTCCTGTTCGTAGAGCAGCAGCTGAGGTT